AAAATCTTTGATGTTAAACTTCGAATTCGCTGTGTGAATCATTTTTATAGAGGGGAAATTTTCCCTAACGCATGTAAATGTTTAGGAAAGAACATTTTTTTGCTCCTGTGAACTAGTAACAACAACATCAGCAGGAGATTCATAGTTTTATGTGCGATTTTCTTTGGACGTAACTTCTACAGATAAGATGAATCGATTGCAGAAACTTAAAAAATGATAGGCGAGGAGCATTTGAATCTGGACCATAAAACAACACAAAAGTAACAAATGGATGCCCAAAATAAAACAGGAACAGCAGGAAAAGAAGGGCGACAGAATGATGGATTTTCGGACACGGTGACAGTTAGTATTTCTGCTTGCTCAGAGCAATCCATCGAAAGCTTTACTTTTGTATAGCACTTTAGGTAAAGTGTCCACCCTAAGAAAAATGGCGTTAAAATTTATTTCGCTAAGATCAATTTATAGAAAAGCTTGCATGTTTTCCCTATATTTGTATTAAAAAAAGGAGATTTATTCTAGTATGAGGGAGTAGTATGATATTTAACAGATATTTCACTTCTGTAATAAAATATTTTCTAAAAATTTAATATCTCACTGGAACGCATTTTTTTAACCATTATTCTATTGCTTACTACGGTGATTTTTTTAAAATATAGAATTTATTTACAGTAATTTTTTAAAAAAAGGTTTAATAAGTTTATTAATTTAGATCCTCTAAGATCACTACTAATTAATCTGTAAGGATCCGCTACAGTTAGTGCTGGTTGACAAAAGGATTTAATTCAGTTTAGAACAGGGTTTTCAAACTTACATGAGGCCGGGGGCAGCAATTAAAAACACTTTATCAAAATTTTATATAGGACTCTTTTATGTTTGAATGAACATTAAATATTACTGTCAGATTTTTATCAGGTAGTACAAAACAAAAGTATTGAATTACAAATTAAAATAAGAAGTAGATTTTTACAAATATTTAATTCTAATTAAAAAAAATTCTGGATACAATAACTTTAATTGTTCACCTATTTATTAAACAATTAATGTGCAACAGATACCAAATTGTTAAGATATAAAACTTAAAAGTATTTAAAACCCATACAGATTTTTTACGAAATCATCATCATAGTTGGCCAGACAGCCAAATGTGAGCCAATGTCTTCCTCTGAAGATTTCTCCATGACGACTTCCGATTTACCTTTGATCTCCAATTATTTTCATTAATTGCGAGAAAATCAGACTCCACTGAGTCAGCCCTTCTTAACCGCGACCTTTCCTGCTTTCTATTTTTTACGAAAATTATCACCGAAAAAATGACAACTAATATATTTTAGTTCGCGGGACACAAAAAAAGGTTTAGCGGGCCGCCAGTTGGTAACCACTGGTTTAGAAGAACGAGACTCGCTAAGGAACGAAATTGGTGAGTGAAATTTTAAAACAGCGGGTGAAAAAGAGAGAATTTTTTTGACTCTGTACTATAGAAAAAGTGTGCTAAATAAATTTCGGTCATGATCTCCTCTAAATCATAAAAGATTTTTTTGATTTATAAAATCAAATATTAATTTATCAAGTTTATAATATTCATCTTGTTTCGTCTTCAATTATCCAGCTTTCAACATAATCAATAGTAATCAGCCGCTCCGTCACCGTTTTGTCACGCACTCAATATGACCTTATATATTCAAATAATAGTTAGATAATTACGAAAAAGCTAATGAATATTTCTTTGTTTTAACTAACACTTCCGTTTAAAACTAGTGTGGGGTAGAAATGAACATTAGTTCTTGAAAAAAATTACATGTTGGGGAGATTTCTTCCGTTTAAAACTAGTGTGGGGTAGAAATGAACATTAGTTCTTGAAAAAAATTACATGTTAGGGAGATTTTTTCCGTTTAAAACTAGTGTGGGGTAGAAATGAACATTAGTTCTTGAAAAAAAATTACATGTTGGGGAGATTTCTTCTGTTTAAAACTAGTGTGGGGTAGAAATGAACATTAGTTCTTGAAAAAAATTACATGTTGGGGAGATTTCGAATAAATTATATCATTATTTGTTTCAATTTCACTTGTATATTTTAGATTTTTAAAGACCGTGTTTATATGTTGTGGTGTGTAACATCAAAATTATTATCAATAAAGGAAAGTGATCGAGCAGTACACACACACACATAAAATATCTCCTTGAATATAACTTTTTCTCTAATGTTCGGATCTTTACGTAGCAATTTAACAATTTTAATGATTCGAAGAATGGTCTTCAAATGTGCTATTAATAAGCATTAATTAAAATACTAACTCTGGCACAAATACGTTCTCTGTTGGAATAAACGTACCTTTTTAACGTGTTTTAATCTAAGTTCTATACATTGTTATCTTTACAAATATTAAGTGTTGAAAGAAACATTTCGAGTAAAGCATTATATTATGGAACTAACGACCTTTAGATAACATTTAAAATTATCTTATACATTATAAAAACTTTAACAGTAACCAATAAACCTTTAATAGTAAGTTTAATAGTAAAAACTTTAATAGTAAGCTGAATGCACAGCACAGCTGTATTTAAATATTCCAATTCTTCAAAATCTCCTCCAATCCTAACACCTTAATTAGTTGTAAACAATATATTAACCAAATTATACAATATATTAACCAAACTATACAATATATTAACCAAATTTATTTTATCAGTCTAGCTGCTGCCCGCGCGGAATTATTTCGATTTTAACTATTTTCAAGTCAATGCTATGTATTGAATTTTTAGTAATAATTTGAAATCAGTTCAGCAGCCATCAAATCACACGAATCACCTTAAATATGAGTTCGGATTATTTCAGCATAGTAGGCAACAGAAGCATATTTCCATAAAAAATTCATCATAATAAATATAAAAAAAATTCACCATAGTGCTGTACTACTTCCTTCCGCACCTCTCGAGCCTTACCTTGTGTATCGTGTGTGATATTGTTCAAAAACGGGAATGTACGTCATTAATTGGTATGATAGTTTGGTGAGAATCGGTTGCTTGTATTATATTCTGCATTTTTAATTAAGTCCGAAGATAATGAAAAAGGAGAAATGCGAAATTTAAACATTACTTTAATAAAAATTTAACAACAAAATTAAAAACACCCAAGATTAATCGAGCACGTAAAAACTGAAGAAAAGACGTAAAGCAAATCACGAAAAGAGAAAAGAACAAAGTTTTACGATGGTACATCACATTTCATTTCTTGAAGTTCAGTTCATTAAGGAGATTACAAAAATACATTGAGGGTACTTTGAAGTTTTCAGGTTCGCCACAGCATGAACTTCGCTACTTGAATCAAGTGCGCTGATTACACCACAATAGTATGCAGCACCATAGCACCGTTTATGGTTAAAAATTCTACTGCCATTTTTGAAAATTATCAAAAAAATAGTAACTAACTTTATCTTTATCTTATATTATAATACGAGGAATGGTTGCCAAGTCGAAAATCGCCCCAGAATTAATAAACTCCGGTAAACTTGGGGGTCTGGGGTTTTTGGCCACGAGGAATCGATTGGCGCCGGTTTTGAAGCGCTACGGTCGAGCAGTTCGGAGTTACAGAACCGAAGTCGAAAATCGCCCCAGAATTAATAAACTCCGGTAAACTTGGGGGTCTGGGGTTTTTGGCCACGAGGAATCGATTGGCGCCGGTTTTGAAGCGCTACGGTCGAGCAGTTCGGAGTTACAGATAGGATATTTTCAAACTTTATTAGTTCGCCATAATGGCTATAGATACTTTTCTCCACTCTTATAAATGTATGCTAATGCGAACCTTACAATTGAAATATTAATTTTCGACAACTTAAACCAATAATATACGAAGGAATTAATAATTTAATTGTAAGGTTCGCATTAGTTTACATTTATCAAAGTGGAGAAAAGTTTAACTTTTGT